AATATGACTCCGCGAAAACTTCAAAAAGTGTGATCTCATATTGAGCCCAAGCTCATGCCCCTGGTGGTGTTCTAAGATAGAAGCCATGTTTGAGTCAGGGCGCTTCTCGATCGAAGAGAGAGTGACAACTATAGGTTTAGGGTTGGAAAGCTTGTAATAGGAGATTCTTCAACAACAAGCTGATGGAACTCAAGTAAACTTGATAGCGGAATGGTTGATTTGAGAATGATGAGGAGAGAGCGTGTTGGAAATCGGAGATTGAGATCTTCCTTTCTATGGACTACGTAAAGGCAGCTAACCCGCTGTGACGTATTTCTTTAGATAGAGAGAATTCGAATCCATTCAATAAATGCAAGTGAAAACTCCTCTGTTAGCCCTAGTTTTGACTCTCTCTCCTCTTTCCAGTAGTCAGATGATCTCCGAATTACAGGTTAGTTTAGTGCAACGGAACAACTTCAACAGCCTGCCTTCCAGCTGCATAAGATTAGAATCGCCCCGCAGTACGTTGTGGACTTGTCCTTACTTGAATGAAGCAGAAGCCTGAGGCCGAGGTCAGAATCTTCGAGCAGAAGTTCGAGCGGATCAACTCCTTGGTTGGCTGATAGTTGAAAGTTTCAGAATTGGTATTTCGCTTTTTGGTTAGCGTGAAATCCTGATCCGAGCAAAGCTGAGCTTCAACGGTGGGATTGATTCCGAAAGTAATGATGACACTGGGTTCAGTTTCTCCCTTTTCCTCTGAACAGCAAATTCAACCTGCTAGCTCTGTCTTTTGATCCGAGAGGTCGGTTTTTCTATTGAGACTTTGTTAACTGCCAACTGCCTCGAGCCAATGTTCAAAGGAGCTACGGCGGCGCTGAAGTAAGCCATGGGCATGAAGCATCCTAGAGCTGGCTATCGTTCCTTCCGAGCCAGGATCAAACTATGATTTAGAGTAGGGAAGCTTGGCTTTCCTCTACCTATACGGGTGATTCGTAGTAGTTCTCCTTCTATCTTCTCGAACAACCCCATCAAGAAAACATTGCAGCTATGGCAGGGGTTCCTTAGTCACAAACCGCAGGAAATCAATCTTTTGGGGCAACCCCCCTTAGATAGGGCTAGAAAGTTGTTTCCAGCTATCTACAAGGTGCATTGAGGAGGTCTTCCTTTTTGTAACCGTACGGTGTTGTGTTAACAGGGACTCTTTCATAGACTCCGGCTCCCTTCTCTCGGCACTAAGGCAGGGAAGATCCTGGAAAGAACTCCTTTTCTATTTCTCTTACGGAATAGTCGTTCAAGGGTACTTAGGGCATGGCACTACTGGCCGCTAGTTCCGACTAAGATAACTGATCGTTAGAGTGGATCGGGCGGGTTTCGAGCGAAGTCAACCAATCACAAGTAGGTTTTTTCAGGCAGGATTTGAACCGTAGATATATCGTTGAAATTCAATCTCATTCTCTTAATCCATCGTTGCGGCTTTCCGTTCAGAAGTTCAGCGCTTAAAACCCCTTGCCTTATGAAGACGAGCACCTGAGGACCTTCGCTTATTCAGTTCAGACCGTTCCGAACCTTCCTTACAAAGTTCCTCGACATCACATCCATCAGTAAACCCATGGAGCTCCCAGCTAATAGAGCCGAAAGGACTCGCTGGGGAGTCGGTAAATGGCGGGCTAAGATCCTATCCTGACTTGAACTCTTGGAGAGCCCTCTCAATGAATTGTGCAGTTCTGCTTGTTGAGATGGCATAAGCTCTATAGATGGGTCATAATATTCTTCTTTGGGATCTAGTTAGTCCTTAATCGAACCTTCTCACGCGACCCACCAATATTGGAATCGTTTTCACAAAAAGAAGGAATGCACCTGTCTGATCGCTAACCAATTGTCGAAGACGGAATTAGGAGATGAATCACCAAAGTCCGCTAATTCGCTATCTATTCGTCCGCAGGGATGGCCGAGCGTCAACCCGTCACTAAAGCGGAAAAGATGAGATATTCTGGGCATAGCATTACTGGCTCTAGCTCTTGGAACAACTGTCCGCTTGGTTCAGCTCAATTTCTTTCAAAAGCCGCCTATATCTATATAGGGAGCGAAAGCCAGAGGCTTGGTCTTCTTTCGTTGAAAGCTTGATCTCCCTCCACAGGTAGAGACAATGAGGATTTACGTAAGGTTAGCCCTCTCTAGTCTAACAAGCGCGTACCAAGCCACTCGAGGGTAGGCCAAGCAAGCAAAGCATCGATTGAAAGAGTAGTCCGTTGAAGAAAGAATGACCTCTTCCTAGTGAGGAAAGAGGCCTGTTATGAAAGATCAAGAGTTGTTGGCCCCAAGAGAGAACACGGCTACAAGAAGAAAGAAAAATGGAAATGGAGGATAAAGATCAGGTTGAATGCTCTTTTCTCTACTCACACATGAGCTCAAACAAATGTGAAAGTCGAGTTGTTTAGCGAAGTCGCTGTGAAGTGAAAAAGAAGGATCCAATTTCAATGAGATTTGCACTAATATAGAAGGGAGATATATAGAAATATCTATATACAATGCAAAAAGTAAAATTATGGTTAATTTCTCTCCTGCGTGTAAAGGCTAAGTTCCAAGAAGAGCGTTTCAACTGCGTCTGCGGGATGTCATGATTTGACCAATCAGACAGACATCCCGGTTAATGGGAAGCCCAAAAAGCCGCCCGTACCACTATAACCAAAGAAGAAGGCCGAAAAGAGCCTGCAGCTCTAGTTCCTACTTCGGGGATAAGTGGTTTCACCAATCAAGAATCAAAAGAGGAAGTGCTTTACTGATGCTATAGACGGAAAATTCTATTCTTCAATCCTTTCAGACAAGTCGTGGCTGTCGACAGGCAACCTGAAGTGCTTGCTGTAGCCAAAGGTTCATTCGATTGAGTGACTAATTTGGGGTAATAGAAGGGCGCGCTCTAAAACCGGAGGAGCGTCCTATGCCTATGTGTTGTACAAGCTTTGTTGAGTTTTTGAGTCAAAAGTGAGTATCGGGAAGGTCCGTACCCTCTCTCATGCCTTTGAGAATAGAAGCTTTTCGGTCTGCTTCAAGTAGGAAATGAGAAACGGCATCCCCCTCCGAGCATGAACCGGCAGGCATTGCAGAGCAGATATTGCTGCATCTGGGAGTGCGGTATCCAAGTCACTTGCATACACGTCCATCCAGTGAGAGTCTTACAAAGGCATAACCAACTGCTTGAATAGCGGACCCACCTGATCTTGGTTACTGCTTTGGCAGCCGAAGCCGCCAGGAAGGGGGTCAAGTCAATAGTCGGATTTCGTCCGCCAGTTGGGGGTTGAAGAAAGGGACTACTATATATATGCTATTAGTGGAATACGGATGTGGATCAATTATGGGTTCTCTCGTGAAGCAATAATACGAGCAATGGGGCTGTCCAGCGCTGCTTGTGCCCCGAGATTTCCATGCATTGCCTCACCCTGACGAACTTCTGGTATTTCTGTGACATCCCAACTTCTGAAGACGAAAACACGGGCAGAAAAGACTCTTCTATTCGCATCAGCAGCAGCTGAGAGATTGAACAACTATTGTACAACAAGAAATAAAGAAAGAGAACTCAGTTGAGAAAAGCAGAAAAGGGCTTCAGTCGAAGTACACAGCTTGTCAGTGAGATAGACCGCCACGGTCCCTCAACGTCCGAAGCCATGAGGTAGTTTTGCTATTTATGTAAGAATTTTCACTCATTTGACACCTATATGAGCATGAAGTTTTCACAGTGGAACAGCCTCCTATTAGCGAAAATGGGGTTGACTCATTTCACATATATAGGAGATCAAACTTCAGGTTCAAAGGAAGTGCATGATAAAAGATCAGTCAGATGTTTCATCCCTCTTTCTTTCCGCTCTGTCAGCTGACTCAGCTGGGGGGTTTTCGCCCCCTTGCCTAACCTTCGGGTTCATCATACCGTTGTCCGGCGATTAATCCTGCTTCTTTGCGAGCCCCCCTTCCCGTCAGAATGACTCGCCGATCCACTGTTCTAAAGCCAAGCCTCCTTTTCGCCCTTCGAGCCAGGTCTGCTTCTTTCCTCTTCAGCAGAGAAGAACTAGTAAGAGATAGAAATCTCACTTTTAGCTAGCTCATGCAAGCAACGAAAAAAGAGGTATATTTGGACTTTCACTCGTGCTAGGAACTAAACGCGTAGATAAGCATCTCATCCACATTCCACCTTTCAACGGATGAGATCATGGCAAGTCAAGAGCGAAATAGGGTCGGCAAAGGTCAAGCAATTGATCCAATCCGGGTAAAGGGGCGGGTAAACACTTTTTGGATCTATTAGAGGAAGTGCTAAAAGGTCGGTAACCCAGTACAGTACTTCATTCATAGGACTGCTCGAGGCAAAGTTCGATATCTCTCTCTTTTTCCAGGAAGTGAAGAAGGTCGAATAAGCAGCTCTTGCTCCACGACGAAGTCTCCTCTGCTTCTGTCCCCCTCGTTCGTCCCGTCAAGCCCTTAAAGAGGTTCATTGGTACAAGAGCGACGACCCCATGCGTACTTAGCGCATGGCCAAAGGTTTGCCGAGATTCCTATCTCTGGACCCCGGTTTAAAGGGTGTCCTCCCAATATTCATTATTTCTCTAGTATGGAATTGTGCTTTTGTTTGTTCCCCATAAACGATTCCTTTTTGGACATTTCCTTGCCTTTAATAGCACGTTATTAAGCCAAATATAGGGGGAGAATCCCATCATCATTAACCAGATCAATGTGTGGTGAATGGCAAGTCAAAGAGAAAGAGCGGATCGGGACGAAGGAGTCGGTATCTTAGGAGATTTGTTAGTTGGCTTAATACCTTGTTCGAACCACCACAAAGACCAATGTCTGACACAGGGATTGGAATCAAAACGGGCCATAGGAGAATCAACATTTTCTTCATAACAAAGAAGCTATGGGCAGTCTTCTTCGTGTCTTCGGTTCAACTAGCGGCTAAGCTGTTCCAGATCGTCAGCCAGAACAGTTATGAGGGGTACCTGAACGCCAGTCGGAGACTTTCTTTAGTTCAAAATTCCCTACCTCATAGAGAAGGGCAACACATGGAAGTCAAAATGAATGAACACGTTCTCATCAATCAAAAAATCTTTCTTCTTTTCTTTCATTTCGGAGAACCTGTCCTATTTCTTCGCAAATACAGGGTCAGGTTCTGGCCGGGATGCGGTATAGCTAACCTTCCATTTCGATATTCACGGATTCCACTTGTGATCTAGATATGCCTAGAAAGTGGAAGTTTTCTCTTCTATGAGATTTGTGTGGTCGGTGAAACTCCTGTTCAGATCATTTGCCACCCATTTTCATTCTCACCAAAAACGAGAAGAGAAATCTCAGGTTCTTGTGTGATCTCTAACCAATAATAGCCGAAGAATCTCAAGAAGCGGACAGCCCCTCACTTCTGCAATTCACAAGCCAAAGTGGAAGGGACTTGCCTTCTTAGAGCCGCCTCACTGCTTTATCAACCTGAACTTTGCCCCGACGAGTAGATCCTCAGCGCTATTCTGGAGTTTCGAGCGCTAGGGTATGACATGTGAGTATTTTGATCTCCGTTAGAGAGTCCCATAGTAGATCCCACCCTTTCTTTGAACCTTGTGTCAATGATCGAACTTAAAGATATGAACTGAGTGCCATTTGATGAGTAACTGAGAACAACGGAGAGGGATATGAAAAGAATGAAGTAATGAAAGAGGAAGTCATTGCTAGTAGTAACGACTTTTCACGATCCATTGGTTCATATAGAATCCATGTCCTAGGTGTATCAAAAAACATTCTTTTTGCTAAGCGTATATAATAAAATAGAGTGAAAAGGGTCCACCCCGAAACCAAGGGGTTATACTAACTAACAGCTGAGTCCTCTCCGAACCGCAGGAGATAGTTGCCCATCATACGGCTCACCAACTTCACTTGCCTCTATGGGGGGCTCGCTCCGGGCAGGTTCGGATCACTGTAAATACAAGGCTCTACGAAGGAAGGGGTTGGGTTAGGAGTGTTTTCAATATGATTCTTTTTCTGTATTTGTTCGATGAGAAATGCGAGTCTATTTTCTTTCTCCATACCCCTCTATATCAAAATGATCCAATCTGCCCGGCACTGGACAGGGGGGTTGGTTAGCTCTGCAAATGTGTAGAGCCAAGTGTAGTGTGGTGTAGGCACTTCTAGGCCCCTTCCCGGCTACTGGATCACTCCAGTGCTTCGGGTACTACGGACCCTCTGCCATCCATTGCAGCAGAGCCTTTTCATGAGCGGGGGGGCTAAGCGCAGTTCTTTGAATCAAAGGTTGAATGAAATCGATTCTTTTTTAGATATCAAAATCGAAATCGGATAGGATAGATGGATTTATATAGTGAAGTAGCGTAGCAAAAAGCCCCAAGTCCTTGATTTGGCCAAGAAAGACTGCACTGCTTTTGGCCCAGGAAGCAAAGTCCATGAGCTCGGCTGCTTCTCCTCCACACGTCTTTTGATCCGTGTCCGTTCCGCATGCGCTTCGCGCGCCATTGTAGCTTTGCTCTCCTCTTATTCTTCATTGGACGGTTCGGATGGACTTCGCCGTTCTTTCCCAACTCAAATAGAAAAGGCTGTATCACATCGAGATGTCGATTCGTTTTCCGCCCCGAATGAGATGGGGAATTTCGAACCCCCTATTTAAACTTTTTGGCCCTTCATCTTTCTGAATCGAGGCCCGGCTCGCGTCGTTCCAACAACCGGCGGGGATCACCTCAGTATACGATCGCGCGCAGTAACTGGGAGTCCTATTACACCTAAGGCCAACTTCAATTCACCAAACCAGGGTTCATCTCGTGTAGTGATTGTGGACTCGTACAAAGGATATTGAGTAGACGGTTAATGTATCAGACTCAACCCTCTCTTTCGTAGCATGCATGGAAATCCGTGTCGCAACTGATTCGGTAAGCTACGTGTCCGGTGCACGGAGAACTGCCTTCGGTCTCCCAAACTGACTTACTCGTGGCAACCTTCCGGCCGCCCAACGACCTATAACGCTAGTCACTACTCCCACTGGGGCTAGGAAGTAAGCCCCACAACCCAAAGCGGCGAAGAACAAATAGAATTTGCTACAAAAGCCGGCTAACGGGGGTATTCCTGCGTATGAGAACATAGTAATGGAGAAGGTAATAGCCGAAATAGGATTCGTTTTGGCTAGAGCGCCCAAATCCGCTATATATTTGACACGGGTTTGCCGTAATGCTGAAACTATGGCGAATGCATCTATCGTCATTGATGCATAAATAAAGAGACCAATTAGTAGTGATTGGATTCCTTCTATGGTTCCACAAGAGAAACCAGTACGAATATAACCTACATGTCCAATGGAACTATGAGCTAGAAGTCTTTTGACTTTCGTTTGGGCCATGGCGGCCAGTGCTCCTAAGATCATAGAAGCAATGCTGCAGAAAAAGAAGATTTCTTGCAATGTAGCTCCATAGGAACCATAAATAGAAAGACGTGAAATATTAGCAGAAATAGAGATTTTAGGCGCAATAGAAAGGAATGCTGTAACCGGGGTGGGTGAACCCTCATAGATATCAGGTGCCCACATATATAGAGTCAAAAGAGAGATGGAGTCCGAAAAGGGGAGGGGGGTTTTCTTCGGGGCTCGAGAGATGGAATAGATAGGGCCCCACAAGTTTCGAATTCGCCGCTGGGGAATTCACACGAAAAGGAACGAGGAATTCTCAACGAAAAAAGTGCTCTCTGAACCGAACGTGAAAGTCGTTTTCCATCAGACGGCTGTTCCCGTAACTCTACTCTCGACTTGGATTATATATCCAAAAAAGATCCGCTCTCGTTCTTTCGTCTACTCTTCAGCGGATTCTCTCTTTTGTAGTAGATGCCGAACCTGCTGCCCCATTGACTAAGAGGGGGGCGGGGGCAGCAGCTACATGGACCCCTTCCTTTCTGTTGTTGCCAGCGCTTTCCCGGGCCGAGCTGGAATTCTGGATTCGAAAGGGTAGGCAAAGCCCGAAGGCTGCTATCCCAATAGGCCAGCGGGCGGAACGAGGAGAGGGCCCGGCAATCATACCAACCGCGGTCGAAAAAGCGTGTTCCCTTCAAGATAACACGGCACCGTAGGCCATCCTCGGCCTTCTTCGTTTTCGATGAAAAATCAATCTCGATCTCCAAAAGCTTTTTCCTTCCCCCGCCACATCTCCCACTTGTATAGATTGGGCCTTTCCTTTAATGGTTGGGGGAAGCATGGACTTATCTGAACTTGGTGGGCATTCTTTCCGGCCGGGTTGGGTTTGAACATAGCATAGGCTCAAACGTGATTGGAAGGGTCCTAGCTACGCCATGCGTTCAATACAAAAGAAGGAAAGCTGCACCGGGATGACAAAAAAAGAGGAATAGAATAGACATCCCCTTTAGATGTCTATATGTATCCTTTAGAATCTCCCGATTCTTTTTTATATCGTTCTATCTGCTCTCTCTAAAAAAAATGGAGAGAGAAAGAGCAGCCTCCTTCGTACCCTATATTGAACACTCATTCCTATTTATTGATAGAAAGATCTTCGTCAAATACCGGACTTTTGACCACAAGCACCCCACCCCAGTAGACTAGTTGGGGGGGCTGTTCGCCTTTTGAATCAAACAAAGTCAGTAGTAGGGGCTTCATAGCGACTTTCATTCGTGAAGGAAAGCGAAGAACCAACCTTTAGTCAATAGGAGCCCTACTTCCCTCTTTGCGACCTCATCACTGAAATGAAAGCGCAAACCCATTTCTGAGTCGCCGGGCGGAGCGCACCTTTGTTCAGTAGGGCGAGCTGTTTGATAGTTACTTCTTTCGGGGCGACGAAAGGCTACTAAAATCTAGGAAACAGCCAGAAACTCGAGAGGGTAGCCTTTGGAAGCGTTCGCCGCAAAGCTCCCTCCTTTTTCTTATGTCGTGAGGCTGATTGAAGTCAATCCATAAACCCGGAAACAAAGTTCCCTTTCGTCAAGTAGGTAAAGTAGGCATACGAAGCACTTCACGCTTTGCCTTAGACTCTATTGGAACAAAGCAAAGAAGGAGGCGAGAAAGGAAAGGGACAAGGGCGGTCTTGCTTGGCGCGAAGGCTGCTGGTTCGGGGGTAGAGTACAGTACTAAAGGTCCTCGGACTTCCAGGCGGTTTTTCTTTTGGGCAGCTGTTCACCGTTGGATCTCGCCAATACAGCCCCCTATAGTTTTCATTACCGAGATCTCTTTTTTTTCATTGTTCCCAGGGATTTTTTGGGTAATCCGCTCCCATGCTGCAAACAGTCAAATCTGAACCTTGTCGCTCTTCTTTCTTTCCTCGCGAGCAGGAAGCACACCAGCAGCGTGCGTTGCGTGATTCGACTGTGTTTTTTGCATTTGACTGGGTGGACAGTTGACCGGAAGAGAACTTGGATTCGCCCGGCCAGCAGGCGGGCGGCGTGCTTCTCTTGTGTGACAACACTACAGAGCGAGTGGCTCTTCTAGGCGGGCAGCTGTGTGACAACACTACAGAGAAAGCGGTGCTTTCGTGTAACATGCTATGGTCTCAACGCCCTTACGAGGTAGTGATGAGTTTCACGCGCTCTAAGCCCGCGCGCGGTTAGGAAGATTGGCCGAAAGAAGAGCGGTACCACCCACCCTACCCTACCACCTATAGGTGGCCATCCGTCCTACAGCCGCCCGAAAAGGAACTGCAGTGATCTTGAATAGGGATCCTACAGCGATAAATAGAATCCCCATCAAAATACCACTAGATTGAGCACCAGTGATTTCGTATCCGGTAAAAATCTTAGCTAATTGATCGAAGTGGGTAGCTCCAGTAGACCCATAGATCATAGAACAAATAGGGTGGGTAGGCCCAACCACCACACTACACGTATAGACGCGAACCCCCCTCGTTACCGTACGTGCGACTCTCACCGCATACGGCTCGCACAAAGACTCCGAAATCCATCCCGAGCCTTTTCTTCCACCTCTCCTCTCCAATCCTCGATCAAACTTGCCTTCCCCAGGCGCTATGAAATGGGGGTCTGGTCTTTCCTTCGCCTATCGTATGTTATGTATCGGCTTGGCTTCGTCCCGAACCAAGGAGACATTCTGGGCGGGCACGTGCGAATAAAAGACTACGACTACAAGCCAAGCCAGCCGGAAGCGAGTCGCTTCTATTCTCGTTGGGATTGGATATAGGTGGGGAATCCATAGATCTACTTCGCCAACCTCTCTAACTAACAGTAGATACAATTGAACTTCACGGCACGGAAAGAGCTTTGCTCGGTTGGCCTTCCCACGCTGACGAATGCCTCCTTTCTCTTCTCCGAAGTCTACAACAAACAAGTGGGAGAGGCAGGATTCGAACCTACGTAGAAAAACTTCAACAGATTTACAGTCTGTCGCTTTTGACCGCTCGGCCACTCTCCCCCTCCCCCTTGCTAATTACCAAGAACTTCGTTGCCACTAGTGTGAAGATAAATGAAACCATCCCACCCAAAAACCACTCGGAGCCTAAAGAGAGAAGAAAGCTTAGTCTACAAGAAGCTGGCAGAGCTTTAGCCATTGGACCACAGTAATCTATACACAGTAAGCCTTTTCTTTTTCTTGTTCGTTCTTCGAATGACGCTAGTGGAGACTCATTCCTTCCGGCTAATGAAGATACTACTCCCGTCAGTCTTCCTCTCCCTTTGGTCGATCCTTCTTCTCCCTAAGAATGGAACGAACCAAGTTCACACCTATACGAGAGTGAAGAATCAAAACCAACAAGAAACTTCCCGCTTTTGATGTCCCACGATTCTGCTAGTTTAGAAAGACAGTCAAGGACAAGGGTCGCTAGATCAGAAAAGCGAGAACTAGAAATGATCCCCAAGCAGGATTTGAACCTACGACCCGTCAGTTAACAGCCGACCGCTCTACCACTGAGCTACTGAGGAAGAACTCCATTAAGGAAGCCGGCTCTCGTTTTTTGGACCAACCTATGACCAAACAAAAATGAGTTCGTCACTCTATTATTCCATTATAGAATCGATTCTGATCAAGCCGAAAAAGCCCCTCCATCTCTATTATTGTTGGGATATTTGAAGAAGCGCAGGGAAGCTTGGCTTTCCTATACAAGGGTCTGGTCTCGATCTCGCCCGGTGGTGCCCCTCTCGATTATTTTGGACTCCAATTTCGTGCTTGAGTTGGAGGGAGAGCCCTTGACTTTAGGTTAGGCCGGTTTCGTCATTCACGCTATTTTCCCCCGTCCATCGATTGATCACTAGAGTACGCAGTAAGTCAGCACATAGCGAATGAAAAAAGAGTTCATCTTGGATTCTCTTCCTCAATCAAAATGTCTATCAATTGATCCCTATTCATTCGGTCAAAGTCTCCACGGCGGTTTCACACTCCTCTACTAAGAGGTGCACCATGTTGATAGGAATCGGCAAAGACCTTCTTGTACACGTCCTCGAGGGCAGCATTCATGGCAATCAGAACGACTTTCTCCCCCTTGATCATTTTTTGTTTATTGAAAGATTCATAAAGGCTATCCGTTGAGTAAAGGGAGGCTTTGCTACAGTGATTCGAGAGTTGCGGGGCCTTGCCGCTGCATGAATGGTAGCTCACGCTCAAAACTCCTCCGACACGAGCCCTAGTCGTTGCGCTGCGGTCCCTTTCCCGGCTTCGCTTGCGCTATTTTGCACTTCTGATTGGTTCCATCCATCCCCCACCCTAATAATAGAGTATTCAGGGGTCAGTCAAGCGGTTCGGGTTTTTTCTCGGTCGGTTCCCGTTCGCCTGCTCCCCTCATAGTCCAGTAGTGGGTGGGGTGGTCAACTTAGAGGGCGCTTGCCTCCTCTTCAGACGTGCCCTAGACAAAACCCCTGGCGGTTGTTCGGTCTCCGCGTTTGGGGGCGGGAGTGCTTGGTCGCAGGGGTTTCCTTTTCCTCAACCAATTCGGTTGTGTCAGCCCTGAGATTGATTGGTCTAACATTTTGTTATGAGCTGGCTTGGCTGGACAAAGATGGATTGAAGGTCAGATAGATTGGAGTTCAAGTGGCACAGGACCCTCGATCGACCATAGGGCTCTACCCTTACCGAATTCATTCTATTGAAGCGTCACGTAAAAAGCTCCTTCTCATATTGCATTTCTTTGGTTTGGAAGTTCCAGAATGTTGTCTGTGGATTTCTAACAAAGGAAAGCCCCATAATACTATGCTATGCCATTTGATTGATTCAAGTTCCATGCTGCTCACCACTCCTCGAGGCCAAGGACGGGGTCGAACCGTCATTCCAGGATTTGCAGTCCGATACATTTCCATTATGTTACCTAGCCACCAAACCCACCACCTCATCAAAGTCAAACGGCTGTTCTTCCTTCCCCGCTCCCTCTTTTTCTACATATGCGGCCGGCGGCAGAGAAGAGGGGACAGCTTCTTTCTCCTTTGCCTTGCTCAATCTTCCTTTTCTGATTGAAAGTAGCAAGCCACTCCAATACTGGTACAGAGGCCAGATAGAAGGTTGCTTCTTCTATATGTTATGTTCAGGCGAAGAACATATAGAAGCTAGCTATTGTCTTGTAAGCAACCATGCCTATATAATAGAAGAGAATTTGGCTTACCAAAGTGGTCTTACTAAAAGTCCAGTAAGCAACCAGTTCCGTTCCAAGTGACATGGCTTTTCACTATTCCTTTCCAGGGAAGGTTGCTCTCATCCAGCCCAGCAGATCCATTGTTTATGCTAAAGTGCAATGCAGCTTAAAAACGTAAGCCCCATTTTCTTACAATTTCAAAGAAGACAGCTAAGGACTCGAGTGGTAGAGACGAAGTATTGGATCATGGCACTCCTACTGGTTTGACTTCAGTCTGGAAAGTGCTTTACCTTGCTTCTGTAGCGACTAGACTCCAAGTTACCCTTTAGCCATTATGAATGGCTAAAGCGAATGCTTCCTTCCTTCTTGTAGATCTTCCGCCCGAGCCGGGGTTGGACTCCCCCCTTCTACTAGAGTTGCAGACCTACTTCCTCCAGTTCTTAGGTATAGTAATAAAGAAAAGGATTCTCGGTTAGATCCTTTTGCGTGACCTTCTATTGGCGAATCCCCTCTCCCTGCGCGAGAATCAAAATCATAAACTTGGGGGAAGATGAAGCCCTGACTTGGAGCGCATCGCTCGATTCACTTGTCATTGTCATATCGGGTAAGCTTTAGCCACCACTCACTGGTGGCATGGTAAATTGATCAATCAACTAGACTTCCGAGCCGGGGAAGATCTCATCGCGGATGAGCCGATTCACGTAGTATAGCTGGAGTTTATGTCATATTGTTGATTCGTGCTACAAGTCAAAAATGATCTCGAGCGGATCCTCCCGCGAGCTATCCAAGGAAGTTGACGGCTCTACTCTAGGGTCGCTTTCTGATTCACGCAGGGACAGGCCTAACTATTTCTCAAACTGAACCTTCAAAAAGGGAAATCCATATTAATATAAGATATTATTCCTCGCCTGACAAGGTACCTAGAAGTGTTGGAGGATCGCTGAGTCAACCCCTTGTCTGGGTAATTCCATATATAGTGTTCTTCTTGTGATCTGGCTGTTGGTCTTCCACATATGACATTTCCCGCCTCTCAATCCTCAGATCTCTATTCCCGACGCTCTATCGAAATGAGGTTCAATGGCGCTTCTCGTGACCTTTAAGCCACTTTCGCTCCCCTTTTTGATAGATTACCTATCTATGCCTCAATCATAGGTTTTCCTCTATTGGAACCTGATCAAAGAAGTGAAGAGCTGCCTCTATTTCATGAAGAAAAGGGGCAAGAACGATCAAAAACCATTAGACAACCTCTCTGTACCTCCACTCTTCTAGCCGAGCTAGTGCTTTACCTGAGATCTTCTGTCTCTATGCCTTCAAGACCGATTGAAAAGGGAGCTTTCTCCCCCCTTATCTAAGGAATTTTTCCATGGAGAGTGGAAGCGCCAACACAGGAACGCCCGATTGAAGTGAAGGAAATTGACCTTAGCAAGTTATACTTGGCCACCAGCTTTAATAGCAGACCCACCTGATCTTGTAATTTGCCCAATAAAATAAGTATTTGAACAAGCCAAAGATGCAAGAAGATGACGAGTTTGAGCACGTCCATAAGGAGGACAAATCCTGTGAGGGCCCAGACGCCAGCTGATCCGGACATGCAGGGTAAGGTAACTGCCAGGTTGGTTGAAGATTCAGATTATGCTGTAGATCTTGATAGTAGGGGGCCTATAAAGCGATTCCGCGGGAATCATTTTGTAAAAAAGTTTATATAATGGGTCGTATCACCCCCAAGTCACTTCATCCTGAACTGCCTAGTCAACATTTCGCTGTAAGTCGTTTGTCGCGGGAGTACTATCTCGGGATGGGGGTATGAAGAAATGGCAGTCAGAGTGCCTGAAACTCTGATTATTACATTGTTAATAACAGCGACTCGGCTTTACAAGATTTCGAATTCTGATCAATCATAATCAATCAAACTTCAGCATTAAGTGAAGGATAAATGTCAGCCTATAGCATCCGTACTATGAAAGGAAGTCCAAGTTCCATTAGGTAGAGCAACGGATAGGACGAAAACCAACTTTCAAAAAGATCACAAAATCCATAATAATCTCCAACAAATTCAACAATTCCATAAACAAGAAGATCATACAAAGAGGGAAGGACAGAATGATGCATAGTGGAAGGGGATAGGGAGCGGGACTACGGGTCGAGAAGGGAAGCCAGTGTTGTTCCTTGAATGGGTCGTGCAACCAACGAAAAGGAGTTAATACTAGGAGGACCGGGGGGAGATCAGTGGTCAACTGGGCAGCAATTCCCACCATCAAATAGAGAAGACGTTTTCGATTACAAGAAAAAGAAAAAAAGAAAATAAAATAAAGCGGAATTCCTCAATTCAGAGATAGATCGAGCACAAAAGAACGAAATGCTAGGTCAAGCAGGACCAGTTCGCAACCCAGCCTTGTTGAAGTATGTTAGAGAGGAAAGATCCCTCACTGCACACGTTCTATATTGAGATGAAAGAAAGTGTTTGGTAAGGTTCTGCCTCCATTTCTTTTAGATTTGACAGCTATACGAGAATGAACAAATAGATGATTCACAATGTTGTGCAAGGATATCCCGCGTAAATTACCACAGGATCAGAACCAAGGCTTCGGTCTGAGCCACTTGATGGAACGAACCATTAAAGCGATCGCTGAGCAGACACTTTTGAGTTTCTTTTCTTGCTGAAAAATCATTTGGCTTTACTTCTTCTAAGTTAAGGACGTATCAAACCTCTTTCTATGTTAGCTAGCCTGTCCTCCTGTGATCATGCCCTCCATTAAAGGACGAGCTCTCTGACTCGACCTTCTAATTCTGTAGTAAGTGGAACTTTTCTTCACTTCAAATAGGGAGGAACTCACCTTTCGCTAGTCATTCTTTGACCGGAGCCTTTCCCGCATATGTGGATGTCACTACAAAGAAAGAAAGGGATGCTTTAAGGCAGGTTTCTCTAAGGAATTTCGAACACAAGCTCCTCCGTAGAAGCAGAACAAGCAAGCGCATATCAATAATGAAATCAAAGATGAGGAAATAATTGCATAAAATGTCCGTCAGAATTGTTCTCTCTTGTTTGATAGTACCCTACACACCAACAATCTCTCTTGTTTGATAGTACCCTACACACCAACAATCTCTCTATTTCATAAAGGTGCGCTACGATCAAATATCAATAGGTGCACAACTTCATCACTAAAATCCACTCCCATAACGGTAGCTACGAGTGGAATCATAGTCTCAAAACATTAATTGATTCTACTTGTATCTAGCGAAATCAATATTTAGCAATACGGTAAGGCTTTCAAAAAAAAAGCACCTCGTGACGAGTAAGGCCGAAAGGCGTGGCGGTACAGCGAGTGAAGAGGCTTTGTACTAGGACAAAGAGTTTTTTTTAAGTGATGAAAGCCAGACCCCTTGTTTCACACGGGTTGCTGCTCATTAGCGTAGATCTTCAACAAGCTTTTCAGCATATTCTAACATAGAATAGTCTTTTGAATACTCGTCTTAGCCTTTTGCGTTGACAGCATAATCGACAGGCACCTTGCCTTCTTCGAATGATTGTAAGGACCGGGAAGTTGGGGAAGGTTTCTATTTTGTTGAAGTCGCTAACCCGGCTGGTTGAGGTAGTGATCTGAGAGAGAAGTTCTATGATTTCGAGAAATGGTCCCTTATCTAATTGTATGCTTGGCCTTGAGCCGACGTTGACCGCTGCTCTACCCGATACGATACCCGATGCGGTATACTCTACCCGCTCGCTCCTATGTATGAGAGTTAGGCTTTAGTGAATGAAGGGTGAGGCTCGGAAATTTAAAAGACTTAGGGCGACTGGTTCGTAAGGGCACCATCGACAAAGTCTTGTTTTTCATTATAGTGTATAGGTGGTCCAATCTTGCGCCTATAACCATGGAGTCAAAAAGCATATTTGGTTTGGTTGGAATCGGCAAGCATGTCTTCAGCAACTGCTACTGCGACAGATGTAGGAATGCTTGATGCCAATATCTGAGTATCTTTGTATTGTAAGCGTGAAGACCACAACGCTAAACACTGTCTCAAAGACTAATGTGGGATCCTCTGTGTCAACACGGACTTATGGTATGGGGTAGACAATTTGACATGGTAGGGGTGTTGATACTAAGAGCTCATCAACATAGTCAATTCAATACGAAATTCTGACGTTAGGAGCTTAGGTTGCAGTTTCCATGCCAGTAGGTAGATTACATCGTTTCAGCAGATCCACTATTCTGACTCACTACTCGTTAACCTACAGAGCTCTTGGGCTATACTTATAATTATATATATGAATTTTACTTCGAAATCCTCTTTCATCTGTTCGCTGGGAGGGAGGGAGTTGGAAGTTGGGCTAAAAACCCCGTGTTTTTGGCCTCAACCCCATTTTCATTAATATGACTCCGCGAAAACTTCAAAAAGTGTGATCTCATATTGAGCCCAAGCTCATGCCCCTGGTGGTGTTCTAAGATAGAAGCCATGTTTGAGTCAGGGCGCTTCTCGATCGAAGAGAGAGTGACAACTATAGGTTTAGGGTTGGAAAGCTTGTAATAGGAGATTCTTCAACAACAAGCTGATGGAACTCAAGTAAACTTGATAGCGGAATGGTTGATTTGAGAATGATGAGGAGAGAGCGTGTTGGAAATCGGAGATTGAGATCTTCCTTTCTATGGACTACGTAAAGGCAGCTAACCCGCTGTGACGTATTTCTTTAGATAGAGAGAATTCGAATCCATTCAATAAATGCAAGTGAAAACTCCTCTGTTAGCCCTAGTTTTGACTCTCTCTCCTCTTTCCAGTAGTCAGATGATCTCCGAATTACAGGTTAGTTTAGTGCAACGGAACAACTTCAACAGCCTGCCTTCCAGCTGCATAAGATTAGAATCGCCCCGCAGTACGTTGTGGACTTGTCCTTACTTGAATGAAGCAGAAGCCTGAGGCCGAGGTCAGAATCTTCGAGCAGAAGTTCGAGCGGATCAACTCCTTGGTTGGCTGATAGTTGAAAGTTTCAGAATGCGCTTGACCTTGAACATACACGGCACGGTGACTAACACGCCGAGCTACATGCTTGGTTGGAAAAGCTGAGGCACTGTTCACTCATTGAGATGAGGTAGCCGGAATGCTGAAAGCGAAGCGACAAGGTAGTGAGAAACGTAGATTTCAGCAAAGATAGGAAAACACCCGAGAGATGTCTTTCCTTTTGTTTGTCCCCTTGTCACCACAGCCATAGAAGCCATGTTTGAGTCAGGGGTCTGACCTTCGCGATCGAAGGGATTCAAAATCTGGCACAGAAAGAAAGACCAGAAAAAACTCATTGGGAAGCATTCGACAAAAGATTCTGCATGTTCTGGTAGGTGGGCTTCATTCAAAGGACGAGTAAGGGACGGGGTAAGAAACCCCCAATTAGTTGGAACTGGGTATTTGATCCCTAGAGGAAAATCTGTTCACCACAACTCCAACAACCACCCCTTATTCCTGGCTTACTAGCTTACTAAATTAAATGAAATCGGTGAAGTTTAAAAGAGCCAAATCAACAAAAGAGCAACCCAAGACCTTCAAAGGCTACTTGACTCAAGAAAAGTCCATGCGAAGCTCTCTTCCAGAAGCATAATCCCACCATAATTGGGAAAACCTAGCGATAAATAGATGAAAATCTCATTCTTCCTGACAGTGATCTTGCCGGCTTTGGTATTTTGGATTTCAAACCCAAATATAGGTAACGTGATGGGTGAAAGCAGTAAAGCATACTCCATCAATCTTGCCAATAGTGTGCAGCCAGTTTTGCTTCGACAGGGAAAATGCATATATAGAAGTGGGTCTATGATTTAGGCTTCTTCTTCCGCATCCACTATAACAGCTGTAAACACCTCCCGAATGATAGCACGAGGCCCCTTTTCTTTTATCCGTGGCATATTTTCAATCAAAACAAGAAACCACATCATCAAAGCCCTTACTATTATACTAAGTAGTAGGCTTTACAGGAATTGACTCGTCTATAGCAGCCGTTACGGACCTCTCGGCTAGAATAGATTCGACACCGCCTCTACCAAAGAAAACGACTACTTACTTTGAGTCACATAGCACACAAGATATAACTTTACCAATTGAATAAAAGATAGATTTTTTGAATGAGACCTCCTTCCTGGACACGATGCAAGTCATGTAAACTGAGCAGCCGTACACAGAGGAGCAGCAATGAAGTCGAGAATCAAGACAGTTGTTGCGGTCAAGTCAATAAGGGGAGGGCCGGACTCTCATCTCCTTCTTTCTCTAACTATGAAGGGGGAACTTCCCAAAGGCAGGAGGAATAGCAAGGGCTAAACTGAATAAGTAGTTCGGGGGGTTTAGGCGCTTAACCATAGGCAAAACTCTAAGTGTTGGAGAAAAGCCTGCTACAAATACGGGGTGGTCTACCTTTCCCCTCTTCGTTTTCTAGGCACAATTCTCAGTAAACAGAGAGAAACGAATAAAATAACCTTTTTCGAGGATATGGGCAGGGAGGTTCGGGTCCTAAAAACAGTCTTGAAAATGTCCTCCCCATCTACCATTATGCCACTAAGAAATCGGTGAATTCTGTGATATTCAAATGTTGATGTAAAAGTGTGTTTGCTGCTTTTCCTCGACTTCAAAAGAGAATTCATACCGTAGCCCACAGATCACTAAGAAAATCTTCCCCACCTTCTCGAGCTGGCAGTTGTTCTCTAAAGGAATATCTTTTTCTTTTCAAGTGAACGATCATGCAACATTGTTTTCTCGTTTTCTTGTTCATTCATTCACTGAGAAAGACTATTGGATAAGCCAGATAGCGGAAAGAAAAGTCCAATTTGATCTAATACAGAGTCATGCTTTGCATTACAAATAGATATGGATTTCCCGAAAACTTTTCTAATACTAATAGGGCAGGAATTCCTTGAAAACGACTCTAGTTCCAGTCGACTCTCGGGCACACAGGCTTTAGACACGCCAGCAGACACTTCTTTTCAGGATTTGGAAGCTTTTGACTCCCCTTTTGAGGCTATTGCTTAAGGTTAGACTGACTATGAAACTTTAGTATAGGATAGAGAGATTTCTGATAAGAACGGTAATGAGACCTTGACCTTGTTCCATACATGGGCCACTCATAAGAATACGACCTCCTAAATGAGGGCTATTTTGACCTCGATTATGGATTTCATTACCCTGTCGAGTTCTTAGAGCTCCCTTTATTGTAAGCTCCTTAATTGGACACCCTCTGTCTGGAATCTCTTCCCTGAGCAAGATGATTATCCACTACTTGACTACTAGAAGTAAATTTCAAGGAAAGGATAGCCCTTTACCTGGTCCCAGAGTCAGTCACTAGTAAGTCACACCCTATTCATCAATAAGACTCTTTTCTCTTCAAAGAAAATGTTGCTATCTTGTTCCGACTTTTGATCAATAGACCCTACAGATCCAGATCCGCCAGTCGCAGACGCAGCTCCAGGTCCAGATTACGCAGTACGAGCAGCAGAGCCAGTTGCAGGGTAAGCCGCTGGTATACGAACCGAACCTTGCTGTAAGAAAGATGGTATGAGTTGATGAGGATCAGGAATGAAGCCGTCTGTCTGGTTTTTTAAGCATTCCTATTGTATTAGTGTTGCCTACCATGACGCTCCACGTAATGTGAAGATGTATGAGAAACCAACTTGTTATCGACTGAAACTCGAGGAGAGACCCGTACAAACCTTCCAACAAGCAGAATAGAAGTAAGTTGACCACAAACGGAATTCAAGGAAAGAATAAGGGAAAGCCACCTATTGTATCAAAACTGGAACCTTCTTCCTCCTCAACCTAATCAATAACATTGTTGGGTGCAAATGGGTATTTCGTATTACGAGACATCCCATCCCGATGGTCTCATTGATCGCTACAAAGCCCGTTTAGTTGCCAAGGGGTTTCATCAACGCCCTGGTGTTGATTATAGTGAGACATTCAGTCCGGTTGTTAAACCCCATTACTGTCCGAATTGTTCTTAGCCTTTGGGAAAACAGGAAAAGAGATGAAGACTATCCTTTAGCCGGACAAGAAGGGTTCGCCTTTGCGCGGTAAGCTTCCGTGATGCCAGTGCCCTATATGCTCCATAGTCTATACGGGCGGGAAAGAGGAGAAAGAACTATGAGAGAATCAGAATGAGAGACTAAGCTCAACTGGAACACCAACGAAATTGAACTCTTTGGAAAGATCACCGCTGAAGCTTCTGTTCACATACATGCTCGTCTAAGCTTCTGAAAGTGGCATCTACAGTACAGGGTTACACTATTGGGATATCTCGACTTACTAAGGGGATACTTTCATGGCGGTGTCGACTATCCTTTCATTAAGGACACCCTTTCGAGGGAGGTATCTCGGGACAAGGCTGTGACTAGTTGCCTCGGAGAGAGGCGACCTAGGCTTTGCTTACGTGACCGGTTGCCCAGATGAAGAGTGACAGGCCTTGTTAGCCTTGAATTGACTAGGACTACGCAGATGGAGAGTCCTATGTCATTGACCTCAGGGAAGCTTTGCTTTCCTTGCACTTCACTTTCGTAGCCTCGAACTGACCTTCCCCAAAGCGATCTACCAAGAGAAGCCATACGCGATTGAGCATTCCCACAAGAAACAGAGAGAAGAAAGAGCTATAATAGGAGCTGACCGGAGGGAGATGAAAAGGTTACGCCCGTATCAGACCTCCTTCTTCATTTCCCTAGCCCTTTTCTGAAAGATATGGGAACAACTTTATCGCTTCCCATTTCTGGGATAGAGTATAACCACCACACCAAGGCTTCATGAAGAAAACTCTCTCGATTAACATGTATCGCGGCTCTTCACTTATTTGAGTTGTGGTTGGGAAAAGAGTTAAGGGGGCTTATCCCCGCCGTACTTCAGATAAGGCGGCTATCCTACAACAACACTTCTCTTCTATGCCCATGATAGTGCCTTTTAACTAGCGTTCTAGTCCTATCTAAGGGTGTGGACCCATCTTTGCTTTCATCGGCAGTTTTCCAGCCTTAGTCGCGTCCATCTAATGGATCTCCCGCTTTTCCTATCCTTCCTATCCCAGGAATGCTTTAGTGATCCTCTCCTTCCCGGCCTTTCGAAGAGTTCCGCCTGTTTGAGCCTTCGGGTCCGAGTCAAAGGCAACCCAAAATGTGGAAAGAACAAAGCTGCGGACCACTAAGAACGAGAGAGGAGATAGAAGAGCTACCTCGATCCTAACAAGTTTTGGGGTTGAATCCTTCGCTAGATATGGGTCTAAGTGAATCCCTCTACTCTAGGTTTTCGTTTCTTAGGAG